ATTACTCTCTGCCCATGAGAGTTGCTTCAGTTGGCAAATACTAATGTTCTACCCTCTTGCTGTGGTGTTATCAGAATATTCAGTGCTTGAATGAAGTAGTAGTGCCTCAGACAAAGCAACCAACCCACAACCATTTGTTTTTAAAGGACTGGTGGAACAGAGCCAGGTCTCTAGTGAGAAACAGACTGAGAACCTTCTTATTGTTCTTTTCTCACAGCTAGGTCTTCCAGTGAGCTGTAAGAAATAGTCTTTTTAAAAAGTGATGATCAAGTTCATGCAACCCGCTGGTAGTCTATTCCGATCTGCCAAAGAGCAGTTCTTTATCAAGTTTTTCTTTCTCAACTTATGCCAAACCCATAGCTGACGTTATATGCAAGGTATGGAAAGCACATGCCTCTGCAGGATGGTGCATTGATGTCTGTATGTTGTGTCACTTGTCAGATCCTCTTGTGACCTTTTCAGTCCGAGGGAAGGCCATCTAATGTCTTACAATGACAGTACATTGTCCCTTTTCCTGTCTTTTTAAGAGTCCCTGGGGGTCTTAGCTTTGGTGAGAAAAGGGGAAGTGTTCGCAATCCCTCTCCTTGACATTGATGCCTGTTGTTAAGCAAGGTAGGCTTGGGTGGATCTTCCACCAGAACAAGCCTTTGACTGCTCTCAGAGGCACTTGGTTGGTTTGTGCATAAAGCATCAGCAAGACTGACCTGTGGTACTGCTGACCTCCCCTCTGCAGGAATCGCTTATCCCTCTCCATGTGGGAAAAAAAAGAAGTAGGCAGCCTCGTTTTGGTCGGATTGTGGTAGGACAGGAGGATAATTTGGCACTGGAAGCAGAAGTGTATAAACTTCGCAAGGCGTTTCCTTAAAATCCTCTGTCTCGCCCCCTCAGGTTCCGCTGCTGCTGCACCAAAAGCAGGCGCTTGCCTGGCTACTCTGGAGAGAGAGTCAGAGGCCATGTGGAGGAATTCTGGGTAAGCAATGGAACAGGAAAGTGGATTTTGGGGAGCAGATTTATGGCAGCAACACCTGGGCACATAACTTACTCTGAGGCCAGTAACTTTTTTAATATTTTTTTTGGAGGCCTATCAGGGAGCTTGTTTTTCTGTGCCCTTGGACTAATTACAGCTATTATCCCATTGCAAAAACATACCCTGAAATGGTCAGGCTTGTATCTTTATTTCCAGCATTGCCCAGGGCAATTTCAGTTGCAGGATTTACCTCAGTGTAGACCTAAGCTAGAGGGGCTCATTTCTGCAGCTTATCACAGCTTCTGTGCATCTTTTTCCAGCGGATGACATGGGCTTGGGGAAGACTCTGACGATGATTGCTCTCATTCTGGCTCAGAAGCAGCTGAAGACAGAGAAAAGAAAGGAGACATTACAAATATGGCTATCCAAAACTGGTACAGAATTGTTTCCATCATACAGTACATAAACTGTGATGCTGTGCCATGTGAAATGCCTCAAGTATTCTAGATTAATGACTTGTAGAATGACAGATTCTATCTGTGCTCACTTCCTTTCTGTAGGACTGTTCTGTTTGGGTTAATGTTTACTGCAGTCCATTTCAAGGCCTTTCTCTTGATCAGTGTCATTTTTTCTTCCATTGCATGTGTAGGATTTCCCAGCTGATTGCTTCATATTTTGGCGGTATTTATTTTCTTATTGGTTAGCTTCCTTAATCAGGTAAAGACAACATTATGCTGTTTTCAAAAAGATTTCATAGTTTTTTTCAATATATGCATAGTTTTCATAGCATAAGGACTTAAATAAGTTACTATGCCCCTTCCTGTGACTCATTTTTTCTTTTCTTTTTCCCCTACAAGATTACCTTTATCTTTGTAAGGAATGATAGAGTTTTTAAACAGTTATTGTTTCTGTGTCCACAACTTGTCACTGTCTCTGTCCTCATCAGATTGGTTGGACTACTTTTTCCTGTTTTGGCAAATTTAGTGAGGATGTGTTTCTTTTTGCTGTGTGGTTCAAAATAATAAAACGTCGGTCTTCTATGATATGAAAGTGTTTATTTGGAACTGTAATCTCAGGAGACATCAGGTTTAGTTCCTGAATTCTAATACTTCAGCTTTTCCAAAGGAAGTGCACAGAACTATAGGATAACTGAGTGGAGAGCAAGTGACACTTTAGTGCTTTAAGTAGGGTTTTTTCCACCCACAACTAGCAGTCCCCAAGAATGCAACATGGAGATGTTTGCCTCACAAACTGTGTTCACAGGAAAATAGGACCAATCTTCTTAACTGTTGTGACTTTCAAAACTTCTGTCTTTGTTGTAGTGTAATGTGAAGATGTTGACACCTGTCTGCAATATTTCCCTGCAGATTCTGCTGTTATCCCTTCCCATAGCACTTTAGTAATTTGTCCTGCGTCATTGATCCATCAGTGGAAGAAAGAGATTGACAGACATGTGGGCTATGGCAAACTGAAGGTGTATTTGTACCACGGGCCAAGCCGAGATAAACATGCAGAAACGTAAGTGCTAAACTGTAAATGTGACCAAGAAAACTAAAATGCTACTTAGTGAGATACCGTGTATGTCAGTGTTGGCTAGAGAATGATGGAAGAACTTCAAGTATGGAAATCATACAATCATAGAATGTATTGGGTTGGAAGGGACCTCTAAAGGTCATCTAGTCCAACCCCCCTACAGTGAGCAGGGACATCTCCAACTAGACCAAACTGCTCAGAGCCCCATCAAGCCTGACCTTGAATGTCTCCAAGGATGGGGCCTCCACCACCTCTCTAGGTAACCTATTCCAGTCATCCACCACCCTTATTTTTAAAGAACTTTTTCCTAATGTCAAGCCTGAATCTACCTTTTCTAACTTAAAACCATTACCCCTTGTCCTGTTGTTACATGCCCTTGTGAACAGGTCTTCCCCAGCCTTCTTATAGGCCCCTTTAAGGTATTGGAGGGTTGTTATAAGGTCCCCATAGAGTCTTTTTCAGACTGAACAGCCCCAACTCCCTCAGCCGGTCTTCTTAAGGGAGGTGCTCCAGTCCTCTGATCATTTTCAGTGCCCTCCTCTGGACATGCTCCAACAGGTCCATGTCCATGGGCTGGACACACTACTCCTGGTGAGGTCTCACCAGGGCAGCGTAGAGGGGCAGAATCACCTCTCTTGATCTGCTGGCCACTCTTCTTTTGATGCAGCCCAGGGTGTGGTTGGCCCTCTGGGTTGTGATTGCACATTGGTGGCTCATCAGAAAATTTTCTACCACACTTTATGCCATCCTGAGCAGTGTTTCTAGGTACCAGATTCTAAGTAGTGTTCATCTCATATGGAGTGTATTTTGCAGTACTGTCTTTTACCATCTTAAGCTTGCTATGTTTACTTTAACTATCCATAAAATGGGGACAACGTGCCCTTCCTGTTTGAGTGCTGTGAAGTTCTGTTTTCTGTAAAACTCTGCACGTCAGCACTTGTAGAACTGGCTGCTTAACCTTGAGCAGTTATCTTGCTGCCTTGCAAAATGAATTCCTCAACTGTGCTTGTTTCTGATCACTGCTTTCACTTTGTGCAGGCTCTCTGAATATGATGTTGTTGTCACAACCTACAGCCTTCTCACCAAGGAAATCTGGGTCAACATGATGTAGTGGTGAGAAGCTGTGCTGTTGTTGGAAAGTTGCCTTAATGTTTTGTTCTGAGGTGCTGCAAGCCATTAAGCACCTTATGCTACAGTGACCAGCTGGTTGAATTATATTTTTTCCTCTAAGCCCCCTGTTGAATTTGCACAGTAAAAATGAAGTGATGAAAGTGCTGTGAAGGGCAGAAAGAAAATGGGGGAAAAAATATTCACAATAAATCTGTTCTGTGATAATGCAGAATACACTGCAGTGAATAAATTGAAAATTCCTTAAAAATAATTTCAAGAGCACAATAATGAATCTCATACTCCTTCTTTTCAAGTGAGATGGTAAAGGAACACTAGAACTTCCCATTTGGTGTTTGCTGTTTGAAGCACTAATGTCACTTTAAAGTACCAGAAGCCTGTCATGGTCAGTCTCTGGGTCTGTCTGAGCTGAGATGGTGGCAGCTTATGTGCTGGACTCTTGAAGAAACAGCAGTGTATTTTATTTGAAAATAATAAAGTGAATGCTGAATGCTAACCAAACTTGGCTACCCAGTATAGAAGAAGTTCCTTGGTGGTAGATAATTTTATCTCCTACCTCTGCCCAGCTCTAGGTGTAGCTCTTAAGGAAAACAGGCCTTTGAATTATCTGGAACATCAAGGTGGCACCTGTAAAACTGTAGAGAGAGATTGAGAGATCAGAATAATTATAAATGTGCTCCTTGGTACCAGCCTAGCAAAATCTCACTGATATGGAATGTCTCTTGTGAAGAAAGAGGCAATAAAATGTTAAAAGCAAGAAAAACAGCAAAAGGTTAAAAAATATTAAGACCAGGCAAATAAGATTTCACAGGAGCTCTGGAGAGATTATTTTTTTGAGACCATCTCTCACATGAGACTAAGAGCTTGGATTACTGCTGACTAACATCAGGAAAAGGCCTCTTGCTGAAAAGTGTTTGCTTGTAGCTCTTTAGAGAGCCTAGTAGCATTATTGCTCTGTGCAAAAAACATTCTGCTTTTCTTTCAGAGCTGGTCATCTCCTTGTTCCCCTCTGCTCAGGGTAGCTTGGGCTCGAGTTATACTGGATGAAGCTCACAACGTTAAAAACCCAAGGGTTCAAACCTCTATAGCTGTGTGCAAACTGAGAGCCAATGCCAGATGGGCTGTCACTGGGACACCAATACAGAACAACTTACTGGACATGTACTCTCTCCTAAGGTGAGCTGACTGCAAGTGAACACAGGGACAGGGCTTCAGTTCCAGTAGTTCTTTGTTGATGAAGTGCTAAAATTGCTCCTCACTTTGAGAGGTTTCTAAGATACATGGGTTAGCAAGAGTAGTTAGATGACTGCTTCAGGCACTGGTTGCAAAGTCTGTGATGGAGGCATTGCAAAAGGCTGACCATGTGTCTGCTATTGCATGTAGCTAGTCTGCTTCTATAGAGCACAAAGGGGACAATACTTCAGATCTCCTGTACCTCCAGTATGAAAAGCCATAAAACCAATTTTAATGAACAGAAGTTTTGTGTGATAATCCTTATTTCTACCAGGTTGCACTGGTAGGACCTTATTAAAGAGTGTTGCCCTACAAGCATGTTGAAGGAGAGGGTGAAAACTGAGGCTTCTCTAAACAAATGATAAACAGGTTAACCTCTGTGTTCCTCATTGCTCAGGGGGGGAAGATAATTAATTTTCAAGTAAGGGGTATGGGATTCTGAAATGACAAATGAATATGCTTTTTGGCAAGTGCCTCTGCACCTTGGTGCAACTTTTGTTGGTGATGGTTGAAACATAATGAGGTAAGAGGAATTGACAGGTACAGAATCAGAAAGATGCTTTCATAGCGTTAGTGATGGTGAGACATTTTAGCAAACAAGTTATCAGTACCATTACACTGGAAGTGTTTTACTGCTCCTTGCAGTTATGGCATTTGAAAATGGCATGTTTTGCACAGCAGGGAGTTTTGTTCTGGTTACTTGAAAGTAGCTGAAGAACTCTTCTTCCCTTGGTGTGAAGTCTCCTTCCTTCCTGTCCTAGGTTTCTACGTTGCTCTCCTTTTGATGAATACAAAGTGTGGAAGTATCAGGTAGATAACAACTCAAAGAAGGGAGGAGAGAGGCTAAGCCTCTTAACCAGGAGCCTCTTACTACGGAGAACTAAGGACCAGCTGGATTCATCTGGCAAGCCCTTGGTAAGTACTTCACCTTCCACAACTAGGCAATGGTACCTTTGTTTTCCTTGCAGCAGCCAGTTAGTTATTTATGTGTATAAATTTGTTAATGGGTGGGTTTTCATGTCTGCTGTAGTCTTTTGAGCAAGTGGAGTGAACGCCTGTGGGGTGCTTTGATGGAATTAGCTAGAAAGCAGAAATACACAGAATAATGAAATCGTTTAGTTACAAATCATGTGCAAACAAGAATATGGCAGATACTTGCAAGTAGATGTCCGCTTAGTGGAAAGTTAGCTTAAGTCTCTGAGAATCAAAGCTGCTGCATGTCAAATAGATCTGGTGCATGCTGGTGCATGGGCTTTCTGCATTAGTCTTTGCAAAGAATCTGTTAAACAGAGTCAGTTTTGTTGTCTGCCTGTAAGCAGAGTGTAGTTTTGGTGTGCTGTCTGAATCTGAGTGGGGAACTGAGAAGCTACTTTTACAATGCTGAATTAATCCTTCTGTGGTAGTTACATGGCAGTCCATACTTAGTTGTTCATGTCTTTTGTTATTGTAATAAAGATTTTATCTTGAGTGTTAACCAGGCTACTTGGAGTTCTAAGAGTATCTGTGTTGTGCTATAGTTGCATTAATATAAATAATTTAATGAAGAAACAGTTATCTTCTGATACCAAAAAAACCTGTGTTAAATCTTGGAATGCATGTGCGTGTGATGCTGTGTAAGATTTTTGCACTATGTACTATGCGTTCTGTGTATTTTTACTTCAGGTATCTCTGCCCCAGCGTAGCACACAGGTGCATCAGTTGAAACTTTCAGCAGAGGAGCAGTCTGTGTACAATGTGCTCTTTGCAAGATCCAGGTATGAATGTGGGTAGAGAGAGGGTATTTTGTGGTTTTGTTTCTTACTGGTGTGAAAGATCTGAAAGAGAAATCCGCTTTAGGTGAGAAGAACTTTTGGATAAATTCCTGTTAATTTTTCTCTTTCTGACTGTCAAGCATGTTTGAAAATACATTGCTTGTTCTGGTAATGGTGGAAACTGATTGATTTCTTTCTCCCATATGTTCATGCCTTGTATGAGCTTTGTATTTTAGCCATTCACTTATGTCTCGTTGATTTAAAGACTATAAAGACTCAGAGATGCAGTGGTAGTTCCTAAATGGTAACATGCCAGCACCTGTAAAGGAGAAAATATATCTTCTTTGCCCTGTGATATCTCTACCATTGGAAATTATGCTGGCTGCTAGATGGCTGTAATGCAAGCCAGCATCACTTTGTATTCTCTAGGGTCTCTCTCAACAATGTTGCTGTAAAGATTCTTCCTTTCTTTTAAATATACATTGAAAGATGTCTTTTTATTATGAAGAATGTTATCCGTTGGGCCCTGGCTCCTTTTATACTCAGGGTAGTTCAATAAGGAGACTTGCTTCCTCTTGTGTTTGCTGTAATGAGTCTTGATTTTGATTGTGTTCAAGTTAAACAAAACTGGGGTTTTTTTTGTGCTAATTTTGTAACTAAATAATACCTTCCTTGTCTTAATATATCGTCAGCTTGCCTTTTTAAGCTCAGGTCCCTGACTTTTTTTCCTGCTGTAAATCCCACAGTCTTTGTCTTGTTTTTCCAGAGCAACACTACAATCCTACCTAAAGAGACAAGAGGAGAAAAATGAAGGCAGAGAGTGTGCTGATGGTAACCCATTTGAGAAAGGTAAAAACATATACAGAGTGATAAGGAGGGGGAACAGACCTGGCCACCTGGGTTCAGGATTTAGACATTTTTTGGGTAATGCTTTCCTGATGTTATGAAGAATCCTGCCATATCCTTCTAAAAGTCTGTTCTCACTGTTTTGTGGCTCTAGGCAAATGTCTTAACATCCCTAGGTCTAAAATTGCCCTCTGAAATGAAGTTCTAATTGCTCAGAGAAGAGATGTCAGTATTAGTATAACGTATATGGTACTCTGTGTTGCGTGGGTTGATACTTGGGGTTTTTTTCTGTAACTGGGGTTTGGTGGGTTCCTATGTTAAATCAGGTGTTTGCCTGTTGGTTCTTGTCTCTTACTGATTAAAGTTTTGCTGGAGGTGGATGGGCAGCACTTGGAAATGCCTCCAAGAGCTCTTCATATTTTTTCTTCCTTCCTTGACAGTTGCACAAGAGTTTGGGGTCAGTCAAAAGGAATTTCTAGCAGGCTCCCAAACTGCCTCCCAAGTTTCAAGCACTGTCCATGTCTTGTCCATGCTGTTGAGGCTCCGTCAGTGCTGCTGCCATCTCTCCTTACTGAAAGTGGTAATTGCATTTTATTGTAGTGATGTGTTGTTGTTTTTTTTTTCCTGGAGACTTTTAAAAGTGTTTGTGAAAGTTAACAGACTTTTAACCTCCTTGCATCTCTTAGGTAGGGGTGTATGAACTGAGCTGTTTTGAAGACTCTTGTGTTTTACAGCCCAAGAGGTTTTAGATGGACGAGCTTCCTACTGAAAAGTTCCCCAGCATCACCTATGGTGGGCAGCTGTGTCTCTGGAAATACCTTCATTCAGATTTAAAAAAGAAAAAAAAAAAGAAAAAAAAAAAGAAGAATTTTACTGGCGAAGAAATCTTGATCTTAACCTAGTCTTGAAGAGTGCACAGGTGTAGCCTGTTTCAAAGGCTTCTGTACTGGAATGGTCTGCAAGTGCCTTGGCTGAAGTTGCCTTGCATGAAGTAGATTTTCGGAAGTTTTTGCTCTGTCATGTAAAGCAGCTGTAGAGTAAGACCAGATACTAAGGGATTAGTCAGGGATTTATCTTCCAACAACTTTCATCCTGCAGTTGTTAAATGCTGTGGGATGGGGAATCTGAGGAGACTGGACTGCAGAAGATGGCTGAACTCAGATGCTTTCCTTACGCTGTCTCTTTGGGCAGAATAAGGGGCCTAAGGGACTGTTGATCTGACCCAGCAGTGTTTCTTAATCGTTCTGTCTTCATACTGCATAGCTTCCTTCAAACCCACTGTCCTCAGCAGTCATTGTGCAGACTGTGGATTGGTACTGAATCTGATCTCAGGCTTGACTGTGATTCCTTACTATATTTCTTTCTTTCCCACAGGCTCTGGACCAAGTGAACTTGAACAATGAAGGGCTTTCTCTCTCCGTTGAGGAACAACTTAGTGCTTTGACCCTGTCTGAGCTCCAGACTCCTGATTCCAAGTCAACAGTCTACCTCAATGGCACAGCTTTTGAAACAGATATATTTGAAGTCACCAGGGAGAGCACCAAGGTATTGTGGTTGTGACTTTCTTACCTTCCGCAAGAAGCTTTGATTTAAACACTTTTCCTTTTAAATTGTTAATGAATTATCACATGTTGGTAATTGCAGATCAGGCTAAGTTGGCAATTTACACTAAATCAGGGGAGTAGACTGATAGTCCACTGAACCCCTACTGGGAAGGCTCCAGTTTACCAAGTGTTGATGGCTAATTCTAATAAAGCTGTGAGAATCTGGATTGTGCTGAAAAACTGCCAGTGAAAATCTTGAGCACCAGAGTCACAGAAGTTTAGAAAAGCGTGTGAGAGCACAGTGCCTGGGAGGAGGTAGAAAAAATGGGATGGCAGCAAAAGGAGACGTGGCAATAACTTGGCTTCTCACAAGAGGGTTGAAACAAGTTTGTATGATTTGATTTCTTAACTCTGTTGTCCATGGTGGGAGCATTCTTACTAATGACTATTAAAATATCTTGGAAATCTGAGCATGGAAGAAATTCCAGTTGAAGAGTTATTTTGATAACTTCCTATCTTAGCAAATAATAGGCAAGCATGAGCTGGGTAAAGACAGCAAGCAGTCTAACTTGTTTTTCCCCTGCAGATAGCTCACCTCTTGGCTGAACTGAAGACTATTCAGAGTCACTCAGAGTCTCAAAAAAGGTTAGTAAATATCCTTTTCTTTAGTTGTAGTGATGGAGAGACAGCAGGAGAAATAGTTTATAACAATTGAATACGAAACTTCTGATATGGTAAAACAGCAGCAGTACTGCAATAGTTGAAAGCCAATTGTGAGAAAAAAACAAAAACAAAAAAAACACTAAAATGAAAGAGAGTAGTTTAAGAAGTAGGTAAGTGTAATTATAGGAGAATGTGTGAGAAAACTCAGGCCTTGAGGTCACAGAGGACTTTTCACCAAGAGCAAAACTGGGAAGAATTTGTGCTGAGAAATACTTGCTTTGGCTCTGCAACCCACACCCCCCAAAAAGTGGGTGAATAAAGTAGTGGTTAAAGCTGAACCTGTTTGAGATAAAGGAATAAGCTGGTCAGAGAAATTAAGCGTTGCTGAAGTCCTACAGCTCTCACCACACAAGTTTTTTCTTTGCTCTGCACCAGACTGCAGTGTTACAGGTTTTCTGCTTTGTTTGCACCTGAAACAGTTACAGGTGTGGGGCTGCAACACCTCTGTTTTGTTGGGGGTGGATTGGAAGTGGAAGTCCTGTTCTTGGGCAACTCTGGAGTTGCACCATATGTAGAAAGCTTTTTCTCCAAAGTTTTTTCCAAAAAGCATTCCTACCATAAGAATGGGAACACCACCATGACTTTTGTTCCCTACCAAAAAGCTATCAAATAAATTAGTGCCTCCAAAACTGTTTAATCCAAAAAGTGTGGGGAGTGAGAGGCACACAGGTATCCAAGTTTGGTGTTGATATCAATTCATTTTATAGAAGAAGCTTAGAATTGTGATTGGTAGGTGGCAAAACCCAAAAATAGAAAAATAAAACCCCAAAAATAGAGATTGTAAGTTATAGACTTAATTTGTCTGAAGTTTACTGTGCTTTAGCCTTCTGCAGCAGGTTCTATAACTACTCCTACAGGTGCATCTATTTCTAAGTTGGGAAGGGATGTGGCTCCAGTCTGCAATGGGGAAGAGTGCCTGAATCATTGTCTCCTCTTGCATGAAACACTGTAATAACCAAACTGTCCAGTACACACAGGACTTGTTCTAAACTCCCTGTTCTGTCCCCAGTGTTATTGTGTCTCAGTGGACGAGTATGTTGAAAGTTGTGGCTGTGCACCTCCAGCGACTAGGGCTGAAGTATGCGACAGTGGATGGCTCTGTCAATCCTAAACAGAGAATGGATGTGGTAGAAGAGTTCAACAACAACCCCAAAGGGCCTCAGGTATGCAGTCAGGGCAGGAAAACAACTTCCAAAATAAGGTGACATCTCTGTGACTTCATTTTGCATTTTTGAGGTGTCTTTTTTTTTCCCCCCCTTTTTATAGATTTTTTTTTTTTTTAAATTATTAACTACTTATTAACTACAGTGTTTTGTAGTTTCTAGTCTGAAATTTTGGCTAGAGCAAGGAAGCTTGCCAGGTGACTAAAGAAGACTGAATCCAAACTCACTCTTCATCCTGCTACACTTTAATCTGAACACTGATGTTTCTGTGATTGAGACAGGACAGACTGTCTCCTCTGTGGATGAATCCGTGACTGTCAGTGGAGGATGTGGTGCATTAGCTAGTTTTCTTTGCTGGATTTCTTGAACAAGCCACTGTCTGCAAAACAGATGTTTCTCCATCTAGCTTTGAACTTAAACAAAAGAAGATTTCTGCCAGCTATATGAATAGCTGACCCCTTAAACAAGATCAGGATTTTAAGGTACCATACCACAAAATTGAGTAGTGTTTGTTTATATATGATACATAAACTTGATTCAAGTGTTTCTGTCCTCAACTAAATTATTTTCCTGCTGTACAATAAATCTTCATTAAATTGACCATCTGCTATATTGCTCTTTCTCTCCAGCTGCTCATCTTTTTTGAAATAACAGGTTATACGGAAACAAAGAGAAAGAAGTAGCAGGCCATTTGAGTCCAGTTGCCTGTAATCATTACTGTTAAATCAGAGTTGGTGCTGACTGCTATTGGAGAGGCTGGTCATTTGAGTGGGACATGGAGAGAGCCTAAACTTTTTAGTCCTTTCTCTAGTCTGTAAAAACTAGGGGTAATGCATGTGGAATGGTAAGCTGGTGCCTCTGAGCCATGACTTCTCTGTCCTGGCTTCTGTGTCTTATCAAGCTGCATCTGGCAAGCTCCCAAATACATAATAAATGTACACATGCAATATAAATATGAAAAACAGATACTTCAGTTCAAATTCATATGTGTAGTATACAAAGCATTCATTTTCTGGAAACATGCTCATTAATTTAACTCTCTTTTGGCCTTTGAAGGTAATGTTGGTCTCATTGCTGGCTGGAGGTGTTGGCCTGAACTTGACTGGAGGAAACCACCTATTTCTTCTTGACATCCACTGGTAAAAATAAATATAAGTTCCACCCCAGAGAGTGTATGTAGGGCATGCTGTTTGCTTTCTGACCCATGTGTATTGTAACTTCTGATATAGTTGGGTTAGGAGGGAAGTGTTAAATTGAAATTAGGAGTTGTAGTGTTTTTACCACAGCCTTCATCCAAGACACTGATTTGTCAATCCAGTGCTCACCACCATGAAATACAGTTTTGTAGGGATAAAAAAAAAATAGAGGAGCATAGCAGTGATCACAAGAAGCCAGTGTGCAGTCTGTGTCACAAAAGGGTACTGGAGAGTTGGTAGTCCCTGGCTTAATGTATTGCAGTGATTAAAAAATAGTACAGTAATGCCTACAAGGAATTTGTCTTGAAGCAAACTGATGGTTGTGCATAGACAGTCATCAGGCATAGCAGGTGTACCTTGGGGTTTTACAGGGCTATGAAAGCACTGCAGGAGAGCTCGTGGTATTTATGTTGTCTCTGGAAGTCAGTATGACTTTTTAAACTGAATGTTACTTATGGGAACTTGCAAAGCAACATGTTTTAGTACAAAGCCAGCCACTGAGTAGCAGCATTAAGAACACACTTCTACAGTATTATTATTTCTACAATGTTATGCCAACAAGTATTCCCTGTAACTGCGTGCCAAATGGAGCTGCTTTTTATGTAAATATTCCTGACTGAAGGCCTCTTTTGATGGAGTTTACCTTCCTGCCTTATCCTCCTCACCAGCCACTCAGCTTTCTGTGAGTGCTAACTACTGGCCAGCAGTGTGGGACTGCATGGAACACTGGCCTAATTCACACACCTGACTGTGTATGGACTTGTAGCACAGTCCTACCAAGGGGCAAATCCAGTGGGGTGAATACTGGTGGTCAAGCTAGTAAACCTAAGGTAACCTTGGAGCAGTTTTAGTTCTACAGAGGAAGAAAACGGGATGTGCTGGAGGCAGACAGAGGGAAGCACAGAGGCTTTGATATTTCTCTTATTTCTGAACATAAGCCTTTAAGTTTTGTGGTTTGTTTTGTTTTTTTCCCCCCAGGAATCCTGCTCTCGAGGAGCAGGCGTCTGACCGCATTTACCGAGTGGGGCAGCAGAAGGATGTTGTGATACACAGGTCAGGAGTTTCCTCAGCAGTAGATGAGGCTGTTCCTGCTCATGTACTGTCTGGCTATAGTTGGTGAAACAAGGCCTTGCTTGATGCTTGTTGCTTTTCCTCAAGCTAGGCATGAGGTCTGACAGTGGGACTGGGGTTTGGGCCCTCGGGTGGAGACCACAGAAAAATGTTTCTGTGTGGCACTTACCAGCACGTTGCTGTCCTGACAGGTAGCAATGGTCTGTTGTTTTACAGCCTGTGGTTTAGTGGGTATGTCCTGCTCATTCCTGAGAACAATTCAAGCACTGAGTTCTTTCTCTTCTCTTACCGAGAGGAGATTTTTTCACTGTTCTCTCTGAGCCTGGACCTTTCTGATATCACTAATGTAAACATACAGAGCACTTAAAATAAGTGGCAAACTTGCCTTTTAGAAAAAGCATTGTTATTTTCAGTACTGAAAGGCTAGCTTAGTTTTGTAAATGCACATTCAAAGCAACTGGAATCTAAAGTGCTATTTTGTCTATGATGCTTTTAGTCTAATAGGTGCCATCAGTTATCAAGCAATCATGACAGGATTTTGTCACAGAATTGCTGTTGCTTCCCATGACCAAAGCTGAGGCCTAAAGTGCACAGACTTTTATTTGAAATGATATAATGCTTATATATGAGAACAGCTATTTTCTGTGCACAGGTGTATTTTGCAGTTACATAATAGGCTGTTAATACTGAAGTTGGGACACTTTGGAAGTTTACTAGGGAAATATTTACATAATGCTAATAATTTTTCCTAGCAGTTGAGATGATGTGGCTTTGGTGTTTTCATTTGTTTAGGTTTGTCTGCGAAGGAACGGTAGAAGAAAAGATTGTACAACTCCAAAGAAGGAAGAAAGTTCTTGCCCAGCAGGTGCTGTCAGGCAAAGGGGAGACCTTCACTAAGCTCACCCTGGCTGACCTCAAAGTTATCTTTGGCATATAATTATCACTCATTATACAAAACAGACAGTGAATTTTATACCTACAGCTATGCAGGCTTTGACAAAGGACTGCTGCTTAAGGTGGTCATTTATTTTGGACAAACTACATTTTTGTGACTGTTCCAGGAAGAAAAGTTACCAACTTCAGGAATTTGTTTTAATACTAAAATTACAGTGTTCATCCAAAGACTAATAAAGCTGTAAGTTAATCTGTTGTTTTAAACACTTTTGAATAAATATTAAGAATAAACATTTGCTTTTTTCTTGGATTCCTTTGTATGCTGTTTAGTTAGAAAACTTTCTTTCCTCTTCAAGACAGGAAAAGCACAGGCATAAGTGAAACAACAACAAGAGACAAGAGTGAGGTAGGAAAGTTTAGAGGTTGGGTGGGCATGAGGAAAGAAAACACAAATTACTACAGTGCTAAAAAGACTGTATAAACTCTAGAATGTATAAGTAACAAAACAAAAGAAGGTTTTAGAGGAATACTTAATTTCCTGTTTTGCTCCTCAGAAGGATGTCTTGTATCTAAGTGGAGAAGTATTTCTTTGTCCTTATTCAAGCAGGAAGGAGATTTCTGTTATGTTCCTGTGAAACCGAATCTGATTGTTGTGGAGTTTTGTTTTTGTTTTGGTTTTTTTCCAGAGTATGAAATAGCATAGGGTTTCCTTGGTGTAAACCTTCTTATGTAGACTTTCTTCTTCCTTAGAAGGTGCTCCCAGTTTTTAATAGTAGATGAGTTGCAAGTCCTTGATTAATGGTTTGTGCTCTTTCTCCTGTCAGAAGTGGTATCTGCTGGTCAGTGAAAGTTTTAGGCAACTGTTCTTCCTTGGTAGTGCATCTTCCACCTCCCCCTCATGTGTCCCCAGCCATATCCACATATCCATTTCTAAGAGATCTGGCACAGTTCCCATAAGCTGAGGGCCTTTGAGGTCAGTTGGGGGCCTTTGAAGAATTTCATTTTAATGTTCAGTGGTAGAGCATGACAAGTTAGAATGTACATAAGAGACTGGGTGTTGGTTCATGTACTGTCACTCCCCGTGCAATAAGATGATAGCATTGGGTAGCATTTCAAGTGAAGGAGGGCAGTGTTTGCTGATCAGTGGTTCTTGTTGGTACAACAAGGTCCTTGTAGAAGTCATGTGGCTCTGTTAGTCACTTCTGTTACTTGCCTTGATATGATGTGCAAGTGAAGCTGTAGGATTATTCCCATTTATTGCACAGTTGTAGGGGCTAGAGGACACTCACCAAAATACAAATTATTATTCCTTGTTTATGCCATAAATTGAGCCATGGTGGAAGTGCCTTGAGCAGCTCTTGGAACCAAGGGCGACTGCGTTTAACCATCATCTTAGTTTGTGGAACATTGTAGCAAGGCAAATGAGAAAGGCACCCTGATTTTCTGGAAAACACATCAAAGCATCTGTTTGATTCCACAAAACAAGGAGCCATGGACTAACTTTCCAAATTTACTTTCTTTTGGTTGGGATGTTTTACATGAGCAGAACTTGCATTGTAGTTTGTCTGGAATTTGTGTGCAGTCTCCTCCCTTTCCTTGGAGCAGCCGTTAGCCTGGCAGGTTTCCTTCTTTAATGTGTATTACTAAGTATAGTTGAAATGGATCTCTTGCACACAATGTCCCTTCAGCCTTTGTTTCTCCCTTTGGCTGAATTTATCTGTAGTCCCAGTGCAGTATAACTAATTAGATAGGTATTGTCCTGGGAGTTAATAGGTTTTTTTCTATTCATATTAAGTTCTCTCCAGGAAAGGGCTTTCTGCCTCTCTTAGGAAACCTGCATAACCAGTGGGTTACGAAGTGACATTCAGCTCAGTTCACAGAAGTTCTGAAGCTGAAGGTCTAACAAATACCTCCTGTTTCCTGAAATGGCAATGGATGCAACTAGAAGACATGGATGAAGAATCAGTGGGTTTGGTATTTAAAGTCAATTTGTTTAAGGAATTTTGTCACATGGTGGTGGGGAAATGTGTGGGGTTTTTTGTTGGACTTTGGCTTGTGCTTTTCAGAACTGGGCAAAATCGCGTCTGAAAACACTACTGTGCTGCCCGCGTGCATTGAGGTGTTTGTGTCTCACTGCAACACCACAACTCCGGGGCTCGGTTTCCTTACAGAAGAGAAATCCCCCGGGGCAGCACGAGGCGGCGGCTGCGGGAGGAGGTGGAATGGGGCCGATGGAAAACTCGCTTCCATGAGTCAGGATGGCCGAGCGGTCTAAGGCGCTGCGTTCAGGTCGCAGTCTCCCCTGGAGGCGTGGGTTCGAATCCCACTCCTGACAACGCTTTTT